ATGAACGTCGTTGAGATTCTACCGTACTCTGATTTGTGTCGAAATTTGTCTACGGTGAGCGTCCTTCTCTTCGGCGGTGACACTCTCATTCGTAAGATCGAACAATAGGGTTTCACGAAATTCGCTACGTAGCGAAATATTTCGTCGACCCTCATCTCGCCACGTGGATTCTTTTGATCGTCGAAGACGGCGGTCACGACTGTGTGTGGTAGTGTCCGTGGTGGCGAAATTATTACGGGGGGATGAAATTTCCAAGTTGTTGGACGATAGGGGAAAGAAAGTGAACGGCGGAGCCAAGGAAGAAGAGACGAAAGGGGCGAGTGTATCGAGAGGAGGGGAGTGGGTTCGAGAAGGGAGAGGCTTTGATAATTGCAATTCACTTCCTTGTCAGGGTATAAGCAGCGTTGCGGTTGTGGTAGTTGATGAGCAGGAGAAACGGGGTGGACCAGGAAAGAGGGAGGGATATGTACGGTTCGATACCTTTCTTAAATTTACCACGAACTTTGAGACGCGACCACCGCTACTATCACCACCATCGCTACTGTCTTCGTAAATAATTGACGGGGAAACATAAGCAAAGATCCCGATTATTTTATCCTATATAGGGTGAAAAAAAGCAAGTCGATAAACGAAACATCGGCCGCATTCGAAGGTTTACTATATCGATGCACTTCACCTTCTTGAATTGAAATGTCAGTATTATTCTCTTAACACACTCTGGCATGCTGTTGCATCGCTTGTACTGTTACCTCGCGGACAATTTTGCAAGGTGAATATGTAAATGGAAAATATGGCAACTCTTGAGAAAATAAAAAACGTCGTTTCACGTTTACCCTTGGCAATGCTTGAAAAATACAAGGTATCGATGTGTTAAAAAAAGAAATATACATACACACACACACACATATATATATATAGGTACGTTCTATCTTGAAAAGATTTATTGTCGTTGGATTCTTAGAGAACGAAATAAAGAGAGATTTATTTCATCTTTTTACGGTTTTGTTATTTTCTTCTCTACTTGATTTATTTTTTGACTTTCATTCGTCTTTATTTTAAAAAAACCAATTTCCTCGCATGGTTTCTCATCATCGAGGCTGGTTAAGGTTGTTATCGATAATTAATACCCCAAGGCGAACGATAATGAAAAATTGGCAGTTCTTTTGTCTATAGGAGGGAATGTAATTCCCCTCCATATATATTTCCCCGTTTTCGGAGCTCTTGGAAACCGCAAGATGTTATTGATTTTTATACATATCCCCGGTGGGTGTGGGTGGGTAGACGTCCAATTTTCGGTGTGTACGTACGTTTGTGTGTTTACGTACGAGAGTAGGGGCTAGCTGTGTGTCATTTACTCATTGGTGGTCGTTGGTTCGAGAGAGATAGAAACTGTTGCCTTCCGCCTTCCCTTTTCAAACCGTTGACTCCGGCCATCAACCAAAAAGAAAAGTCCGATATAGCGCAAGCGTTTCACGTCTTTGGATCGTGCTCTCCCTCTCGCTGAAAATTGACCAACCCGCTTTTCCTTTCGTTTGCCCATAAAATATTATCCCTCGCTACGCTCACGAAGAATCATCGAGAAAGGGAAACTCTTTCTTTCTTCTCTTTCCCTTCGACTCTCTTCGCGTTTCCACCCCTCTTTTTCTTTCCAATTTTTCTCCCCAATTCTACGTTGTTGCGAGTGTGATGAAAAAAAAAATTGTACTGGAAAGGAAACCGGATACGGTCATGTTTGACTTACACTTTTTGTTTGATAAAACGACAAAAGTGCGGGACACGCGAGCAATTTGTCACATTTAATTTGTCAGGGCACCCTTTCGTATCGCGTTGAAAAACTCGTAGGAGTGGCACCTTTTAAAACGCGGGGCAGCGAAATTGATCGATCTGACGTGCATTGACGTTTGAGTAAATTGAATTATACAAGTTGATGTCGTGCAACGGCAAAACGGTAAAACTTTAATGGGAACGTAAAAGCAGTTGGTTTCGAGTAACTATATAAATAAGAAACGAAAGGAAACGAAAATCATATAAAACAGAACTTAAAGAAATGAAAAATACTTTATTTATGCACACCGTTACGATCGTACGTGTATAAATTATGATAAATAAATTGAAATAAATATATAAAATAATACAAAATGAGAAACAACAAAGGAAGAACTTCCTTATTTCGCAACCTTATATAAAAATATACGATCGATCTTGTATATCAATAAACCATTCAAGGTTAGTTATATCGTGTGTATTCATATTATATATTTATATGTATATGATTCTTTGACTGTGTCGTGTGACTAGAACAGTTTCTGGAATTGTAAATTCTGTCGAAAATGACTAGACGGGCTAAAAATAATTTCTCTAGACGCGCAGAACACTTTATATGAAACGATACGCTTATTAAACACGTATGATCATATAATAGTATAATACAGATCATATATATATATATATAAATATATATATATATATTCATTTATATATTTATGTATATATATATATATTTATATCATTTTTTTCGTTTAAGTACGAAACGCGCTTAGCCTATGACGTACTTACTTAATTTTTCAGTATATATAATCAATATATATATTATATATTATATATACATATATATTAAATATATTTCGAGTTTCTATCATTTTGATTTAAACGGGTAAAATTTGATTTTGCGCTCAATTATGTTAGTCAAGGCAATACTCGTTTCAGGACACGCCGCTTGCAGTGAAATTTCATGATCCCGATGGCTAGGATCGTCATGATTTTCTTTCCGTACACGTTGACAAAGGTCCGTGAGTTTCCATGAAATTCCGTGAATTTCTATTAAAAATGGAACGGAAAAGGAAAGCTGTTCTACACAATGAACCGTGATATTTTATCGCGTAATCATTCGTACGTGGCGATATAAATTGCACGCAGCACGTGAAAAACCATGACGCCCCCGGCGTTGCTCTCGATTTATTATCGACTGCGAGTCGTTACAATAATTAAAATCTACGACCCTCGTTGCCGCGCACGGGCCATTAAGTGCACAATACGCATAGTTCCATGGGATGCAATTAAGAGGGTACCGATTTACATGGACGCGCGCGTTTTGCATGTCACCGTTCGTCCGTGGGGTGAGAAAAATGGTGAAAGGGAGAGAGGAAGGACAGGATACGTGCTATCCACCCTCCTCCCCCTTCGTTTGGCTCGTTTCTGTCGGACTTTTTCGGAAAAATCCCGGCCAAGGTCACGACCTTTCTCCTACATGACCTTCACACAAGGGGACCAGATGTGAGACCGTTTGCCCGGACCCAACTCGCCATCTCGACAATGCCACTAAAAATTCTCTCCGTCTTTTTTCCTCTTTTTCTCTGATCGCCGGCTCTTCTAATTTCCGTACCCCTCATCTATACATTTCGTTCGTTCTTTCTCTCTTCTTCTCTCAATAGATTCGTAATGGCCGATTCCTCCTCTGGCTTCCCCTAAAATATGTTAATGCACGCGTGCGCGCATACTAATTCAGGCGTATTTTCGCCGGAAAACCCAGACGTGTCCTATTAAATGACGCGGTTCTCGAATTTCAGCTGTCCCAGGGAAATTTTTATGGGTGCTGAGACAAAGGTCGGTCGAGACTACCGTTTTTGCTTCCGATGTGCCATAAATCTAGATCGCGCGGAACGCGTTCTGGCCTGATGACCGTTCGCGTTTATCGAATCGCCACTGGATACCGTCTTTTGTTCGTGTCGATATACGTATATTCAATGGCTGTCCGGTTCGTCTCGCGGTCGATACAGTCGGATTTACACTGTTTCGCTTTAAAGGAACACGGCGAACGAACGCTGCTT